TAAACTCTTTAGACCAATTTTTTTAAACATGTTTTCAATTGAGACAAACTCATCCGTTCTCAGTGCGCTAGAAAGCCTTGAAAACAAAAACTGTTCTCAGGCTTAGCCTGATGGACTCCCACAATCCTTTTTTAAAACATGCAGCAAATGTCTAGCTGATGCCCTTTGCAGGTTAAATAATAATAATCGATGTATTAATTCTGGCAAGTTTCCGACTCTCTGGAAATAAGCATTTATAATTCCTATTTTTAAAACAGATTTAAAGGTTGAAATGCAAAATTATAGACCTATAAGTTTGCTGTGTACTCCGTCAAAAATTTTTGAAAGCATTATAGCTGCTCAAATGTTTGAGAAATTTAAAACTGTGATAACTTCATGTCAGCATGGATTTTTTTCAAAACGATCAATCTTAACCAATCTTTTTACTTTTGTTAATTATGTTTTCGATGACTTTGAAAATAACTTAAATGTTCATGCTCTTTACACAGACTTTAGGAAAGCATTTGACATTGTCAATCATTTTATACTTTTAAAAAAACTATATTTGTACGAACCTACATATTAGACCAATATCAATGTGTACATTTGAACGGAGTCAGTTCAAATGATTATCTAGTTACTTAAGGTGTTCCGCAAGGTTCAGTCATTAGCCCACTTCTGTGTAATATCTTCATTAACGGTATTGCTTCGAATATTATCGGATACGCTTCTCTACGCTGATGACCTAAAATTGTTTAAGAGCATACGCACACTTACTGATTCTGCGGTCCTACAATCCGATATAATTAAAATTGAAAAATAGTACAAAATTAATGATATGTCACTCAGTTGAGATAAATGTCGTGTTATTTGTTTTAGCAGGAAATTTGCTTCATCTCCGTGTTTTTATATTTTATGTGCTAGGTACCGGACTGTCTGTAGTCAAAGAAATTAAAGATTTAGGTGTTTTACTAGATTCTAAGATATGTTTTCATTGTCATTAAGATACAATAATTTCTAAAGGCAGGAAAGTGTTAGGTTGTGTTAAAAGGTGGTCTACTGATTTCAGTGATGTACGGGTCGTCATATTATATATTTAATTCTCTCGTAAGATCCTTATTAGAAATATACTTATTTGGTCACCCTTTTATTCTTCCCACATCAAACGTTTTGAAGCTGTACAAAACAATTTTCTTAAATATTTAATGTACAGACTCGGTATAAAAAACAGTATTTTAGAGACTACTGTGGTGACCGAATTTGAATTAAAATTTCGCGCTAAAAAAAATTAACAGCGGCGCGAAATCATATTTAAATATTTTGAATTTGAAAAAAAAAATCAATTAAGAAAGTCGTTAAACATAGGCCTTGTGCACGTTTAGTTCTTTTTCTGGTAGATGGTAGTTCTGCTTGGTAGTGTCTAGTGAAAGGGTTGGTAGGGACAAGATAGCTGCTTGGTAGAGGGAGGTGAAAGCGTCACTTTTTGGTTTGTTGTTGTGAGTGAAAACCACGAGGTGAGTTAGCTAGGTTAAGTTTAGTTGGTTTGGTAGTTAAGGTAGGGAGCCTTTGTTTAACGAAAATTAATCGTAACGACGACGATGCCACAGTTTTTCCAACACGCGTAGCTATTTCTTGCGGTTTTCTAAGCGGAAATTGCGAATTTTCGACCGACGCTAACTCGTGTTGTAAATTTGTTTTATTGTTTGTAAATTCAAAGTCCATGTTAGGATTTTAATCGTTAACTGTTTCTAATCCAATTTAACAATCAAAAATTTGTTTAGAAAAACACTTGCTAGGAGATTTTTTTGTTTACCGATTCACGAACAACGTTTCTGGATGCTTATACTTAAGTGTTACATTATAACACTTCTTAATGCTGCACACAAGATTGCTAATAGTCCATTTACGGCAGTTAAATTAACCTAACGTTGCCCCACTGTGGAAAAAGACCGTAGAAAAGTGCGACAGAATTCATGATATCGTGCACTGAGGGGCTGAGGGATTAATTTTCACCCTTACGCAGTTATTATCATTGGTATTATCATCACATCAGCGGGACGCATTTTCCTCGCAACGCTGGACGCATTTCGTGTTTATTTATCATGTGTTTAGTTTGGGATAAACAGTCTACGGTATAAACATTCAAACATAATTATTATTTTAAGTAACCAATGTGGCGTAACTTATCATAATGTAAACTCCTTGTTTTAATCGTTGATAAAGTGTGGCATAATTTACCATCAGGTAAATTCTTTGTTTTGTCAGCGGCCATGTTCAAAGAATATTTGAAAACCGAGCACATGTTTGAACTGCAAAATCTTATTGAACAAATTAACAACGTTGTGGGACGTGCATTTTTTTCCTTTGATTTAGACCATTATTTGCACAGCGCCATAGGATTGTTTACATTTCTGGGAGACATATTTTTGACGCATCTTTTTTGGAACGACGCATTCGTCCGACGCCATTTTGGACCTCCAGAGTGTCTGCTATGTTTTTGTTTATGTGTTTGTTTGGGGGAATGTATAACAATGGCTCACAATGTAGCTGCATAACTTCACTTTCTAAATTTTAAACAATAACTCGAATGGACACAAAATATTAATATAATGTAAATTTGTTAGCTTTGCAATTTTTCACTTCATACAATTTTTTTTTATCTCACAATTTTAACTTCAGTAATTTTCTTTGCTGTATAATTTAAATTGAACGTAAATTTTCAAGGATGCAGGCTTTGTATAGAAGTCAGGGGCGGTCCAGATGACGTGACGCTGTCGGCTTCGTGATGGCCGAGACCCAACCATGAGTTTGCGACCGTAACGGCCTGCTCGTACGGCATGACCGTAATAGAGAAGTGCTGTGCGACAGTGCTTGCGATAGATCGAATCACTATCGTGGGTAGGAGAACAGCCACGACCAGGGGCTCGAAACTCCGCTCGTGCTCGTGGGTATTTTCGTTGTGCTCTAGAATGAAATTGACATAGTTCGATTGCCACACTCTTATAGCGCTCTGGTGCCGCTGTCGCTGCATAGGTTTTTTTTTAAATTTTGTTCACTGCCATAATTTTAAATTTCCCGCCGCACGTCTGTAATAACTTGTATATTTGCATCCAGTTAGGTACTTTAATTAAGATTTTTCTTTGTTTTTTTTTATTAAATTAGTGATATTCAAATATTTGCATTGATTCAGAATGTTTAATTTGGTTTCATTCATAGTTTGGAAAGTTTTTTTTTTGTAGCTGAGCTTTAAGAGGTCCCGTCAACCGGCACATCTTGGTCGCAGCTTTTTTTTCTTTTTTCTTTTTTTTAGCAGTGGAGGATTAAATAATTTTGTGTCCTCCATATATTTTGTGTATTAATTAGCGGTACTTTTCCAACCCTGCCTTTTTCAAAAGGCAATATAGGGTTCCATTTTGTTAGACGATCACAGCCAAGGCCAAATTTTTGAATTTTTCCCGGGCTTTCAATTTTTTTTTCACATGTTAATTTAAGGCGGGATGTTTGGGTTATCATATCACAGTACTAATCTGGTTGCTAGTTATGTATCAATTATTAGTTTAGAAAATCGTAGAATTTATCACAAATTGTTTTATCTTTAAATTAGTAAATGGTTTAGTAAAGTCGCGATCTTTTCTATAGAACCACTCCCTAGTGTAAATTTTCAAAATTTGTTTGGTGTAAGTGACCTTGACGGGTTTCTGGGGGAAAACATATGTGTCAAAAATTTGACAGGTTAGATGGCCCCATTGTTAATGTAGATATTTTATTTTAATAAATAGATGAACAGAACATACAGTCTGCACGGGATACAGTGCGGCATAGCTGAGAGCAACCGAAACATTCGTGTTGTGCTAGTTTCGATTGCCATTTCAACTACCGCTACCAACCGCGTTTGGCGTAAAGTACTATATGACAGGGCTACCAACTTGACTTTTTATCGAGTGGTTCCGTAGAAATGACCGCTACTGTAGATGCGCCCGATTTATTGTCAATGATTTATTTTAATGTACCCCTTCGAACTGTCCGCTCTTCTTATATGTTTTTTATACCTTATCATCGAAGGAATTATATGCACTTTATTCTCCCTTGAACAATATGATTTTACTTGCTAACCAATACTACAAGAACTTATAATTTTTTAGTGTAGCATTTAATAGATTCAAGAGAGAATGCCGTAAATTGTTATTTGTATAATTGTTTTTGTTTCTCAACTAATTATGTATTGCTTTTTTTTTGCGTAATAAACTTTATTTATAAGACTCAACCCGGGCAATCTTCGCCTCCGAACGTGAATATTACTCTAATATCTAACTAGCTAGCTATCTGTCTTACAAAAATCGTTACGGACAACAGACAGACAACTGGAGACTTATTTCTTCGTACTCCAAGGGTCATGGAAGATCAAAAAACATAACAGTAGGGAGTCGGCTGATGGACCCAATTACAATACTTCCCTAGCTTACGCTCGGAAAGTAAAAAATGAACATATTTTAACGAAAACGTAATTGAAAATCGTAAATTCTTAAAGTCACGGGTCACGGTTGTAGATTGTAGCATAGATATGTTGATTTAGTGGCATATATCCGTCCATCTATGGTCAGCGTCGTTAATTGCCAATCACGTCCCCTGATTTTAGAGGAGCAAGGGACTGCACATGTTATAGACATCTGTTATTACTAACTTAAAGTAGTACTCCTAAAAGAAATCGTACTTATCGAATCAAATGTTGTCCATTGATTAAATCAGCACCAGCACTAAATAAATACATATGTATTTAATCAATGTGTCGTCTAAAAAGTTTGTATCGTTAATTGCCATTTATAAAATACTGCAAACGAAAATCCCTCAAGTAACTAGAATGATTTCCACACGGCAAAGGCGCTAAATTTACGCTTACTTTTCAACACAGAACAGCTTTTCATGGACCGTCACGAAGTGTCGCCAACCCGAGCGACTACCATATTAAACTATCTGGCCTACAACCGTGCTTAAAGCTAAGGTATAGCAGTCAAGGTACTTACCTAAAATAGACAAACTAATAATTTTGATAAGGGACGAAAGAACACGACACATATTTAGGCACAAAATTTATGTAATAACCATGAAATATTTGCATTAATAATACAGGTTATCATAAATGATTGTAGTCGAAGTAGGCGCTAACACAATTGTTTTGTGTGCTGCTTCTTACCTTCAGAAAATTAGTCCATTAAAGTCCATTAACGTTATGGGGAATTTTTGTTTTGCTTTATTGTGAGAACTGTCAGAAGAATGTCATATTTCGTATACTTTACCCGCCAATGATGTGGTAATAGAGTAGATGCGCCGTGCCTGTATATCTTACGTGATCTTACGTACTCGGAATTGAAATGAACATAAGATAGAGATAGCATGATAGAGAACATGTCAAGAGAAACAAGAAGCACAACAATTGTATCACGTGAGTTACAGCAACCTTTAAATGATTTCTTATGAAAGTTATTGGAAACTTGAGTCCTAAATATTTTTTTCTAAATAAAAAAATAAAGAGAGTAAAATAAATATATTTCTGTTTTATAAAAGAACATTACAATTTATTTACGTTATAAATAAAGTGGTCAACTCTTTGAAATGAAAAAGCAGGACAACAAAAAATCTTCATTATCTTCATTAAGTAAACAATAAGAGTTATTTTTCGTGTACTTATTAGAAAAGTATACTTTTGATTTATCGATAAAAATAAAGAAAAGTGGCAATTTTCCAGTTAGTAACCACATTATAATTTTTTGGTATTGAAGTATTGGTAACACTTTTCGTACCTACCTACTTGCTTTTTGATTTAACAGGTAGATACTAAATTCGCTATTGTTTCCGCAGCTTCGCCGAAAATGTCGATTTCTTCTGAATTAATCATTTTTTAAACTTGTTTATTATATTGTTATGGTAATACGTTAGCATGATTATTATAAATCAAAATAATGTGATAATCCAAACTTCCCGCCTTAAATTGAGCTTGAAAAAGTTGGAAAGGCCCGCCAAACATTCAAGAATTGGCCTTGGCTGTGATCGTCTAACAAAACGAACTTACGTTGTGTGTGTGTTTTTTTTTAAACATGGCGGGAAGACGTTCTTCCATACAAGTGAGCATACACTGCGTGTGAGTCGAGAGCGCAAGAAATAATAGACAAAATTTTTGGGAGGGGACTAAAAATCGCACCCCCTCTATAGGAGGAAAAGAGCTGCGAGCGAGGGCGACACGGACTTGCCATCTCGCATTCACTTCTTAGCCCTAAAAACCCCCTATGATATATTCACCGACATATTACATTTCAAATGAAACACATAAAAATATGAAAGAAAAGACAACCGCGAATTGATACACATATGAAAACCAACCAAGTACAAAAACCCTACGGTACTGTTTTGAATCAATGCAAATATTTGAATATCACAAATTTAATAAAAACAAAGCAAAATCTGAATTAAAGTAACTGGATGCAAATACACAAGTTATTACGGGCGTGTGGCGGCAGATTTAAAATTACGGCAGTCAACAAAAATACCCATAGGGTGTTCTAGCACAAGCATATGCGAATTATTGACTGATGTTAACACGTGTTGTAAATTTGGTTTAATGTGTGTAAATTCCAAGTTTATGTTACGATTTTAATCGTTACCGGTTTTAACACAATTTAACAGTCATAAGATTGTTCAAATAAAACATTTGCTGGGAGATTTCAAGAGATTCACCTATTCAGGCCTCATTCCTTTGTTTATCAAGTTATAAATAATTTCTGGATGCTTGTATGTAAGTGTTACATTATAACACGTTGTCCCACTTTGGATTGGGGGACGGGGCGATTGAATATTTTTCCTTAAGTATGTAGTTATCACCCGTATACCACCGATCAACAACTACTTGAGAATCTACATCACCGAGACGTATTTTTCGCTACGAGGGAAATTGCATCACCGAGACATATTTCTCGCGACGAGGGAGATAACCTATCACTGCTAAATTAGCCAAATACACTGACGTCATCCGAGGTCATCAAGATGGCAGCGTTTGACAAGTAGCCGGTTTTCTCATAAGAGTCAATGCTAATATTTTCGGAATTCATTTAAATTTGAGAGTGTGTCAACTGTGTTTTTATAGCTTGGTAAGTTTGTTACAGTTTCTAGACTGTGTAGATATCTGTAAAACGCACCATAACGTTTGAATATGCTTAAAAAATAATGTTTTCCAATGTGATATACAGGTTAACTTCGCTGCATCTTATATGTATTATTTGTTTTGCAAATTAATTCTTTGTTAATGTACATCAATGTTTTTTAAATACACTAGCATCTTAATATTATAATATTTTGTATTTTAGGTGAAAATGCCTAAATTTTGTGCTGTTGTGGGTTGCGCAAATCGAAGCACCAGAAATGCGGATAAATTTTATATTCCTTTCGCAGCAATTAGCAACAATAATGGTACATATATACAGGATGGGGAAAAAGGCGGAAGCTTTGGTTAAAAGCCTTGAAACGAGTGGATTTAACGAAGCCAAAGTAAAGTATTCCTATGTTTGTTCGGATCATTTTATTTTAGGTACAGTACCTACCTATTAGATTTACAGTTTCTAACAAATTACTACATTAGTGCTCTTTTAGGTAAACCTGCACCTGGACCATCCTGATTATGTTCCATCACAAAATTTAGGATATCAAAATAAATCCACTCATAATACTTGTAATGTTGAAAGACACAGTTGTTTAAAAAAGAGAAAATTGAATAAATGTCTCTAAACTTTTGAAGGCACGAGTTTTATTGTGGGTTATTTTACTTACTCTAAAAATAAAAAAGTTTAGAATGGTATTCATTGTTATGGTAGGTACATCGTCTAAACACAAACTAAAATCACTTGCACTCATTGTATAAGGATCTACGCCGTTTAAATTGTTTAACTTTTGTACATATCTGTTTTTGTCTTTGACGGAAAGACATGGTGCATAATCACTTAAATTATCCATACTTTAAAAACAAATCACACACCTTCACTTAAACCCGTCACAGTAACCTCAAACGAAAATATTAATTTCCAATTTCCCGCTTAAAACACACGGATGTATTTTGGATGACGAGGAATTCAGACCAAAACAGTGTTCTGTATTTTTATTTTTATTATGTATTTCTAAACTCAAATCGCCAAAAAAAAGCACCCTGATACACAGAAAAGATATGAAAGAAGCTATTCACGTGTTTATTTTCTAAATAAATACCCACACTTTTAAATAAAATGCGAAAATGTTAACATTGTCGCTTATGGAGTTTCACGGCGCTTGTCAAACGCTGAGTTCCCGCCACAACATGACGTCACGTGTTATTGGCTAATTCTCTTGTAACCAGTCACTTGGATCGAGGCATAATTTAACATCATGTAAATTCTTTGTTTGAATCGTTGATAAAATGTGGCATAATTTAACAAAATCTGAATACAAAAATTTTGTTCTTTTGTCGACTAATTTAAATTTTCCACCACACACCCATTATAACTTGTGTAATTGCATCCAGTTACTTTAATTCAGATTTTTTTTTTATTATATTTGTGATATTCAAATATTTGCATTGATCTAGAACGTTATTTGATTTCATTCGAAAGTTATGCAAGTTCTTTTTGTAGCTAAAAACTCAGAGGTGTTCAACCTGCCCAACTTAGTCGCAGCTTTTCTTTTGTCAGCATGGAAGAATAAACATATTGTGTCCTCCATATGTTTTGTGTTTTATTTAGCGGCACTTTTCCAACCTTCGGGCCCACCACTTTGCATCTGAACGCATTCCGCCACAAAAAAAACGAACACAATGTAGCGTACCATTTTGTTAGACAACCACAGTCAAGGCCAAAAATTTCAAATTTTCGCGGCCTTTTAAAAATTTGTTCACATGTCAATTTAAGGCTGGATGTTTGGATTATCACAATTTGAAGAACAATACGTAAATTTTATTTTTTTTTTTGTTGATATATACACGTTTAAAATTTATTTTCAAGAAAAATATTTAGCTGATTTGATGACAAATTTCGAGTTCCTCGATTTCTTACAAGCTGGATTTTCAACATTTTCTATTTTGATTTTTTTACTACAAAATTCCGTTTATGAATAAAATAATAAATCTTTGTTGACAAATCTGGAAAACCGAATTATCACATTTGGTAAACATATTTTTTTAATGTTTACTATTTTTATCTCTTATATCAAACATCATACACAATTTAAAATGAACTATTACACTGACGATAGTTTTAATTAAGAGTTCAGGGTTTTTCATACCTTGTCAGGAATTAATTAAAACGTCATCGTGTGAAGTAGGTCGTTTTAATTTTTAATTTTATAATGTTAATTATCTGTCATACAGATTAAAAAATTGGTCGAAGGTTATTTCGACAGAATTTCTCTCGCCATTGATGTACAGTCCAACAAATCGCGCTTCTTTGAAAAATGATAAAATTTGCCAAAATCAGCCTTATCTTAGTATCTACTAAAATAAGACTGATTTTGGCAAATGACACTGTCTAAAATAATAGAGGATGGGTGGGCAGGCCTATCAGTTGACAAGATAAGACTGAACAATATTTGGAGTAGTCATTGGAATAAAGAACGGGTGGGTGGGCGGGGCTAAGTTTAACTTTCTCTTACAGTCTTTTATAAGTAAGCAGTAGCCCCACCCACCCACCCGTTATTTTTTTTCTTCTGAAATCAGAATGGCATTTTTATAGCAAATAGAATAACAAAAAAAAATACGATTATCGTTCCTTCTTCTCTTTTAACAGTCCAGGTTTTATTTGTTCCTTGCCATTTTACAAAAGAATTTATATTTATCTCCACCCACTTTCCCCACCTTCATTTTTGTGATTCATTGTATCTGAATGAAAGGTAGGTTTTATACTGATGAACAGAAATTAAATCCTTAAAATGAGAATAGGGCGGGTGGGCGGGGCTATTACCTACTAATATAAGACTTATTTTGGCAAATGATACCCTCTAAAATAATAGAGGATGGGTGGGCGGACCTATCACTTGCCAAGATAAGACTGAACAATATTTGGAGTAGTCATTGGAATAAAGAACGGGTGGGTGGGCGGGGGTAAGTTTAACTTTTTCTTACAGCCTTTTATAAGAAGTAGTAGCCCCGCCCACCCACCCGATCTTTTTTTCTTCTGAAATCAGAAAGGCATTTTTATAGTAAATAGAATAACAAAAAAAAACACGATTATCGTTCTTTCTTCTCTTTTTAACAGTCCAGGTTTTATTAGTTTCTTGCCACTTTACAAAAGAACACATAACTAATTCCGCCCACTTACCCCACCTTCATTTTAGTAATTCATTATATCTGAATGAAAGGTAGATTTTATACTGATGAACAAAAATAAAATCGTGTATACTGTGCCCTTGAAAGTTTATTCTTCACCTAATTTCCTGCTATCAAATATTTCCTGTTAGAGTAACGAAAGTTCCATCATGAGGTATAATACTTTATCGGACGTTCTATACAATTTTCACCAATAATAATTAGTGTGGGTTCTTTTCTGCGGAAAATGGTTGGTCACACCCTGAACATTGTTGGTCGAAAATCGTTTCTAAGAAGTCTCTTTACTCCTGAAGCAGGCCCAGTTTCCGTTTTTTAGGTAAATTATATATCAATTTGTTTCACGAATTTTATTTCTTCGTGTTAACGCCTTATAAATAGTGATAGTTTTAGTCTATATTAAAGTGAGATGTAAGATTTAGTCCTTAAATTCAGCTAATTTTGACAAAATAAAAGAATTCATATAATTAGAAACTTTAGTGTAGAGACCATAGTTCTGGCTATCACAGCCTCCCAACGTAGTAGGTGAAGCAGGAGATAGACTGGCGACGGCAGTAAGATAATATCTACCATTATGTTTAAATACCAATCCTCCACCACCATCTCCTTTACATATTGACGTTTCTGAAATAATAATAATTTTTTAGCGTGCCGTTATTTAGTCACAACCGTCTTAAACTTACCCTTGTCGAGGTATCCGGCACAAATTTTGTCAAAAGTGAGATAAATCTCGTAGTCTTCTGGTAAATTATTTTGGCAGTTTAACTGAGAAACCAAAGGAATTTTTAGTTCTTTCGGAACTTCTGACGGGATCGCATGTTCAACGGTGTAACCCCACCCAATTACCTGAATAAAAAATAAGAATAAACTAGTTTTGGCATTAAAGATTATCCAACTTACGTAACCCATGTCGTCTGCAGCTATATTGGAATTTTGATTTACGTCTAAGCACACAGGTTGAACTCTTCGTGAAAGGGTAAAGGTTTTCTTAGACACTAATATGGCAATATCACCCATGAAATTCTGAACATCGCCTCGATAATTTTCGGGAATAAACATGGTTTCTAACTAAGAAAAATCATTACGAAGGAAACGTTTTTCGAATTCGAAACAGCAACCTACCTCTGAAAATTGTGCTTCGTTGTGGTCTCGACGGTCCTCAAAGTTTCTATAGTATTTTGCAACAGCTATGACATAGTTTGCCTTATCAAGCAAGTTTCCGTTTTCATCCGAGATACAGTGGGCGGCTGGAATTATGTAATATATAGAAACAATGCATGAATAACTTCTGCATACCTGTAACCACGATTCTTCGACTTATAAGTGATCCACCACATATAAGCAACCTGTCATTTTTGGTGTACAAAGCCACGTTCCAGGGATAATCTCCTTTGGTCACATTACTTCCACTTATAATTAACTGAGTAGCTTCTACAGTTTTTTGTCCACAAACTGCAATCAAAACCAGTTTTAAAGTGAATACAAACCAAAGGTGTCAAACACATTAAGATCCCGAAAGGGATTAAACGGTTATTTTATGTTGTGTTGTGGATTAAAATTTTGGCATCATGTAACCTATTTTGAAAGTAACACTTTTCGTTTATTTATATGTTTTTTTTTTAATTACGTTACATAAGAACACAGTTCGGTAGATCCTGTAATATTATTTCCAACCGATTATAAAGTTCAGCATTAACACTTACTCGGTTCACACTCTGGAAGTGGCTGGTCCCAGGTACCATCATTACAGATATGAACAGGCCTTTTTTTTAACTGTAAATCTTCATAAAACGGAGCACACCGAAATTTAGCGATAGTACCTTCAACTGGTTCAGTACAGTTTTCAATCTCTTTCTCCCTGTAGACGCATGTAACTTGCATGGTTGGAGTACTTACTCTCGGTGGACAAGTTTCTGCAAAATTAAAATAAAAGCAACACTAAGTTGATCACCTGACGACGTACTCAAGCATTGACCAAGTTCAGATGACCACTTGTTACTTTTGTCACAGTATATTAAGTTTTGACCCTCCATCCTAAAACGTTCGTTACATTCTAGTTTTAAAACAGTTCCTGATGTTACTGGTGTTCCAGGTTCCAGTGCTTTAGTTGCTCCAAGGATACTCCACTTTCCAAATTCAGGTTGATTTGGTAAAATGCAGCGATTACTTATATGAAGATTTTTTTTATCACAAACGGGTTTCGATTATATCAGGCTACTTTACCTTCCAGAAGATTCTGTAGCAGTTTCTGTTGTTGGTTCTGTTGGTGGGGATTCCGTAACCGGTAGAATATCGTCGTTACAATTAAGAGGATCTTGACAATCCAGACGCCTAAATTTAAAATTTTATTTATATGGTAACTTCATAAAGGGAAAAAATACGTATGTGAGATAGACAACAAGAAGAGTGTAGGTAAGGTACCTGCTGCACTCAGTATACAGAACGTCGTTACAAATTTAACTCCTAACGTTATCAAAGTCGCTTTACTATTTAACTAGCACATCCATTTCTATTGAGAACTAAATTTTTATATACTTTTTGTTAAAGGGATGCATAAGCTTTCTTTTTATCGCTTATCAGTAATCACTCTTCAGTGTTTTCAGACGTTTGGTTTTACCGTATTACGTACAAACACACGGCCATTGTCACTGTATTTCTAAACAAAAGTTTAAAACTCACGGTCTAAATCGAGCTTCCTTTTCCAGTATGAAGCTTTCAATATAATACGAAAACCTCGTGTAGAGAGTGTATGTTTGACTGTTACAGCTACCGTATGTCGATTCTGCTTGGGGTGAAATGCTGACAGTTCCGATGATATAATAGCGTTTCTTGTATTTGGCAATGAGACCTCCACCGCTGTCACCTTTACAAACCGAAGTACCTAAAATTTCAACATCGATTATGATTCCGAATAAGTGACAAAGTTTACTAGAATTTAAAAAGCCTGCACATAACTTATCATCAGTTATGTATTCGATGACATCTTCGGGTAATCTCTGATTGCAGTCTTCGTCGGTGATAAGCGGAACTTTTAAATATCTAAGTACATCAGAAAGATGTGTGTCCTCTACGGTGTAACCCCAGCCGCTGACCTATAAGAAATCGGAATTTGAATTCCAACAACTAACGTGAACTTGAAAAATTACGTAAGCGTATTTCTGTCTACTAGGATCTGCCAGCACTTGATAGCGCTTTGACTCCCACATAACACATATAGGTCGAACACTGGCAGAAATGTTAAAAATTTTCGTCGTAACTATAATACCAATATCGCCAAAGTAATGCTGAATAGACGCCTTGTACTGCCGAGGAATATACATGTCATACACCTGAAAATCTAAAAATTGTAAACTGTCATAATTTTTCCCACGTTGAGCTAAACATACAGAAGAAAACTGTGCATCTGCAGCATCGTCGGGGTGGTCGTATTGACGAAAATATTTACCAACGGCAACCACATACTGTTCCTTTGGTCGAAGTTTGCCTTTATTATCTGCTATACAGTGTGCCGCTGAAAATTTGCTGTGTATCTAATTGTCCTTCGTACTACAGTCGAAAACTACCTGTTAGAATAACTCTCTGATTTAGTAAAGTTCCACCACAAAGTAATTCTTTATCAGATGATCGATATAATGCGACCTGCCAAGGGTACTCTCGTCTTTGTGTTTCATTTCCGCCAACAATCAGCGTGGGTTCTTTTCTGCGTAATGCTTGTCCACATCCTAAAAATTGACTGATAGTTATTTCATAGAACTTTCTTTAGTCTTTATCAAAGTCAGTTGAAACAGTTTAGTTTCTTAGGCAAATTATTATGCATACAATCTGATTGTTGCATACCTAAACATTTTTTGATCGAAGCAAACTAATTTATTGAATCATTTATAAATTTATTTAAACATCCTGTAGAAACAATCAAACAAAAAATGAAAATATTGTTACGAAATAAGCCCATACGCCGCCCCGGTACGACGCCTATGCGCCTTCTAGTATATACGCGTTGCTTCTCGGGTGTAGTCTGTGAGTCTGACTCATGGGCGCGCGGATGCTAGCGGAAGTCTCGATTGCGGGCCCAGAAGACTCTCGATACGGCGTTCTGGATCCATCGAGAGGCACGCATAGATTTAAATAGAGGCCACCGTCGGGAACAGATTCATTCAATCGAATTCATAATTCAGTTAGTGGCATCAGTCAAGAGCGTCCAGTGAAATTCGCCGGAATAATCTCCGTACATAATCGTGTAACAGTTATTAGTCGTGTAAATACCAGTTATTAAGAAATAAATTGTTGAGTCTTACCTACGCCCGATTAAATTATTCGCCCGTCAAACGTAACAATATAGTCCAGTCAAATTAGCGATCAACCTCGGAATGAGAGATAATAGGCTGAATTTTCGTATACACCTTTATTTTAGCGTTCTAAAAGTTGTCTCAAAAGTCTCATAAAATCTCGTGTCTGCGTCATCAGTTATTCAAGGTCAATGGTCAAGAAAAACAGTTTTTTGCGATTATCTCGGCTGGTATTGCTCCAATGATGTTAACATTTCTTATCATAATTGTAGAGCACAAAATTTGGGACAAATTTTACTTGAAACATTTTTTGATGCACTCAATCGTTTTTGAGATAGAGGGCAGTGAGCGCACAGCGCTCATCCATACGTACTGTATTGCAATCAACCGTGAATATCTACGAATACTACCTTGAATTTTGAATAATTTGTATTTTTTAGCAATTAATACATGGCATTTAATAACATTTTACATATTTTCAATACATTCATTTAACGATACTTACCTACTTTGTGTAATTAAAAAATCTTTAAATGAAATATTTATTGTAGGTATATCTTAATTTATTGAAAGTAGACTTTAAGTAGAAAAATAATTAAGTACTTTATCTTTCAAATGTGTAAGTTTTTAGATGCTAGATAATGTATTATACTTGTTATATTATTATATATCTTAAAGTTATATTAATTTTTTCAAAGTAAATTTTAAGGATGTAAAACTAGTTAATATATTTTAATTTTATCTTTATTCAGCAGCTGTACATTTCTTACGATTGAAATTGAATTGCAGTGAAAATCTATAAATCTTTAATAATTTAAAGAACAAAAGTATTAATCGTCATCATCTTCGGTGCCCTGAATCGTTGTTTCCAGACCTTTCTGTTATAATCATGATAGAAAAATAAGTATTTAAAAACTTACACATTTTAAAGATATAAATAAATTGAGATATACAATAAGTATTTCATTAAATGAGTTTTTAATTACACAAAGTAGGTAAGTATTATTCAATGAATATATTGAAAATATGTAAAATGTTATTAAATACAATGTATTAATTGATAAATAATACAAATTATTCAAAAGTCAAGGTAGTATTCACAGATATTCACGGTTGATTGCATTACAGTACGTATGGCTGAGCTCTGCGCGCTCACTGCCCTCTATCTCAGAAACGACTGAGCGCATGAAAAAATGTTTCAAATAAAATTTGTCCCAAATTTTGTGCTCTACAATTATGGTAATAGATGTTAACATCCTTGGAGCAATAGAAACTGAGATAATCGCAAAAAACTGTTTGTCTTGACCTTTGACCTTGAATAACTTGCGACGCAGACACGAGATGTTATGAGACTTTTGAGACAACTTTTAGAACGCCAAAATTAAGGTGTATACAAAAATTCAGCTTATTATCTCTCATTCCGAGGTTGATCCCTTTTTTATGCTAAAATGACTGGACTAATATATTATTTACAAAAATGCTTCGGATACGTCATTGGCTATTAGTTGTATAAAAAGTATAAAAAATAGGTCATTTGTGAAGTGTGATGGGCCGTCATAAATTCAGTTCACGAGAAAATCTCAATAAAAAGACGCAATACAAAATTCCCGAACGTGAAAATGAAATTCACAAATATGCAAACATCTTTGAAATTTGGTACACAAGCAAACTCGATCCTCTGAAATACAATTCAAATTTCCATCAACATTTGTTTTGGAGTGCCAACTTAATTTTTTTTTAAATGGCAAAGTGGTCAGATTTAATATTTTTGAAAAAGCATTTTTTTCGTTCAGTGATGTAACACATACCTGACTTTATTTACACTAACAATAAAAAACAGTTTTGAAAATGTTAAATTTATTTGACCTACGAAATGTTTTTATTTTTATCATTAGTTCTATACACTTGTGCACTGATAGAAAAATTAATAACAACTGTAAAAATAACACATTTAACTGAAATAAAACAAACAAAAAAACATTTTTCCAATTTGTATTATTTTATTTTATTTTTTTTGCTTTTTATTGCAAATAAAGAAAACCATGTGTTACATGACTGAATGCAGAAAAAATACTATTAAATTTGACCTTCCGTGCTATAAAAAAAATCAAGTTGGCCTTGTATCTCCAAAACAATAATGTTGATGGAAATTTGAATAATATTTCAGAGGATAGAGTTCAAACACTTTTTTTTTCTGATAAATCGTTCTCGCGATATTCATGCTTCCATACTTTTTAGAGACGCTGTATAGTACCAACTTCACAGGAAATCGTATTCTATTCATGAAACCCCCGAACGTAAGATCAAAATTCGCAAATTGCAAACATCAAATATTTTTACGCGTGTCAAAATTGCGCACAACTTGCGCAGAATCCCACATCCATAACAATCGCAAATCCTAATCAAATTCATTAAAATTCGTATCCGAACTAAAACAGTTGCAGGCAATATCCAGGCACATAAATTTTAAGAAAAAAAAACATAGACAAAAAACGCTTCCACTACGAGTCGAGTCTGATGCGACGAAAAAACGATGACACACCCTAAAAGTACCATAAATTAGAGCAATTTACGGCTTTAATCGAAGGGAACTGGCGTAAGTTTGAAGGATCTAGGAGCTCTAAAATTTCGTAACCCTTATTACGGAACCACCAAATGGTCTAAATCGCAAGTACTTCTGAGTCGTAAATCAAGGGCGAGAGGGCATTAATGGGGCAGTTTACACCAATAAATTTTCACCGGAGACATAAAATCTTAGATCATATAATAATTTATGATCTAAGCATAAAATGGGCTAAAATCCCTATGAAAGCGGAAGGACCGGAAGCTGAATTCAGTCAAATCTGAGGTGCTATAGTTGGATTCATGTATCTTTTTACACACGTGACCAAAAGCTAACGTCCGAACTAATAACTGCCACTTTGTAGTAATTAGTCAAAAAGATGACAATGTTCATAACGTCAACTTGACACAAATGTCTTGAGATTTTCTAGGTTAGAATTCTATCTCAAAGTGCTGAAAGAAGCCGAGATTGAGATACCGACGTAGGTGTGCTTGATTGCTTTGTCTAATGATTGCTGATCAAAGCACGGTTTCTCTAACTTGCTTAGTCACCGTTCGCTTAACAAAAAACTTTCTGAATTTCGTTAAATTGTATTCGCACGTACCAACACTACCAACGAAGGCCTTCGCTTGAATTGGTTCGTTGCAGAATTTCTGTGGAACACTAGAAGAAAAAAGAAAATTTGAAACGAGCGTATTCGCTTTACTCTTCACAAAAATAGTTACTTGTTCATTCATCCAAAATAACGTCAACAAGAATTAATAACTACGACAATTCCTCTTCACTTGTATCGCTATCAGAGTCATTTCCAACTTCTATTATAATTTGTGGTACTGTTGCTTCCAATAATATTTCCCGTTCACTCCATTCATTGATAAGTTTCTCCGTGTGTTCAATACATGTTTGCCAAACATTTCCATCACACTTATTTACTGATAGCTTCCACACTTTTCATTAGACCATTTAGTAAACATATCTGCATTCATTTCCCCATGATAATCAAGTAGATTTGACATTGATGCAAATATCAATCCAGTATTTTCAACAAATCTCGCTTTCCCTCCTGCACGTAAGTCTAAGAATATCACATCTCTTTTAAAATCGGATTCTAGGTTTTTTCTTTGTATTTTCGCAAAAAGTGAGTTCTTTGTCCAGCAATATGCGGTTTCTCCATCAACACTATCCTGTTATCATCTTTTTTGTATTTAAAGCCTATAAGCAACAACAGACGTCGAAGAGAACTCACACTCATATGAACTATTTGTTTTCTCTTCAACTCTGCGTTTAAGGTCTTCAGAGTAATATCTTTTTCTGAAAGTATATCATAGTTATTACAAAATTGTATCTATGGGATTTCTTAAACCTACTGTTTTTACACATGTCATAAATTGTGCTGCGGATTTCCATTTTTATAGGCTCAGGCAGGTCTTTTGTTTTCGGTGCTTTCCGATTGGGCCTTGATTTTGTTGGACTGGGAAGCACGCCCAGTCTTTCTTTTCGAGCTTTAATCTTCGAAACCGTTTGGCGAGTTACGCCTAGAGCATCTGCAACTCGCTAAAAATTTGACCGAAATTATTAACCTTCAAGTGGTTTTTCCTTACTTGTTCTACAGCATTTAGTGAGATTAAAGGCCCATCGTTTTCCTTCTCAAGAGCAAAACACTCTATAAGGTTGGACACCATGTCCTGGGCACGAGAACTCAAAGGTTTACCCGGCATGTTGTAGACCAAACACGAACAATAAATAAGATAACAAAACAAAAAATAGGACAACGAAACAAGAATACTAACAACCAACGAACTTTACGAAGAACTGAATAGAAAACTTGAATAAAACAACGAAAAACTGCGATTAACCACTCTGAGTAGAACCAAAAATGACAGTGACGTTTGGTGAAAAATCGATGAATTATTAACAGTCACTAGATTGACTACATCAGTGCCTGTTGCACTATGTGGACGCATTTATTATGTTTTTTATCTTTTTCTAATTGAAGGAACTTTGTGGAAGAGAATAACTGACGTAGAGCGTAATTTGGACTAATTTGGGTAGACGTACTATTTGTCTGGCTTTTCGTTTTTGTAATCCTTAAAACAAAGATTCCTGTGGTAGGTGCTGTCTGAGCTTGTATGATACTTCGGTCACGTGTGTAAAAAGATACATGAATCCAACTATACTGGTCATGCTGCTACTATGAATCAGCAAAATCTTCCAATTTATTAAATCGCTGCCCGAATTTCTGATAAATTTTGAAAAAAAGCTGGACTTTACTAACTTCTAAAAAAGACTGGAGAATTTCCAAATTGTGTCTGTGTAAGTCTACTTTCAGTCATGCTTGACTTTATCTTCGCTCTCGTATTATGACCTTAATGTATTTTTGACTTCAACCGTATTAAGTGTGTAATTTATGTTTTTGTTTTGTTGATTTCCGACGCGTTTGCTGCAAACATATATTGCCACTGATTGAAAGAATTTTTAGCGTTAACATATTGTTACGAAATAAACCCATACGCCGCCCCGGTACGACGTCTAGGGGTCTTCTACTATGTACGCGTTTCTTCTCGTCACGACGGACCCTGAAAAAGTCTCGAAGCGGCGCTCGAAAAGCCAACAAACGGAAGTCGCGATGGATTCCAAAAAGACCTCGATTGGGAAACATCGAGAAGGGATTACGAGTTTAAACAGAGGCCACCGTCGGAAGCGGATTCATTCAGTGAAGAAGTCGAGTGAGCGAATGCATATATAATCGTTGTAATAGTTAGTCGTGTAATTCGAGCTATTAAGAAATAAACTGTTGAGTACAATTTTATTCACCGGTAAATCGTAACAATATGTTTTCGTTTTAGAGCGGTAGTCTCGGTTTTGTATGAGCTATTAAGTCGCCGGGCGAGCTCTTCCGCTAAATGTACGAGTTCAGCCCTCAAAGTTCGCGACGCGGATATTTTAGGTGAACTTTACGAGGTTTCCGAATCCGCTTTTTTGATTTGACCCCCTTGCCATTAAATAGTTTTGTTTTGAGTTTATTAATATTGTTATAATGTTCTGTTCTCTTATTCTTTTGCTGTAGTTTTCGGGAACCTCACGCTTCATGCGAATTCAATGTTTTCATCGTGCTTTAGAGCGTTGTTGGTACTAGTTTCTCATTTTTTAACGTCGCTTAAGACCTCTGGCTGCTCTTATCTGACTACCCAAGTACCCGTCTAGTTTTTCGCGCCTGACGTATTTAGCACATAATTAATATAATAATTACTCTTTTCTCAAATATTTTATTTTAGTTGCAAGTTTTAATAGGGTTAGTTTTATATATTTTTTTTATTTTCGGGGGTTTCTTCGATTTCCGCAGTAATCTTACTTTTAATTGTTTTTTTCATTTTTTGTAGTTATTACGAGTAGCTAGCGGATAAATACCCAGTTGCATTTTGTTAAGTAGCGAAGTGAGTACTACTCGAATTAACATCTTTGTAGCTTTAGAGATTTTATAATTAAAATTGAATTGCATGTATAATTGTTTAATCAGACATATTTAGCGACTTGTAAATTTAACCTCAGGTTTTTGATCGTATTAAGTTTATTTATTGGATTTTAGAATTAGTTTTATTAGGTTTCGTAAGTTACTTTCGTAAATTTTAAAACTGGGGTAATGGGAAGCAATTGCGTAGCTCTTTTATCGCATTTTGCATGTTTTAAGAGTATAAAAATACTGAAGCGATCTCAATTGAACATTGGGAACACAGAAATTTAGGGAAGATAAGAACTGCGGGCAATTGATTCTGTTGTGCAACAAATTATAAATGAACCTAATGTAAAGCAGATCACGCGTACATTGCAGTCAAAGAAAACGGAAACGACTCCACAAAATATCATTACTAAGGTCATGAACTGGGTACACATGATCGATTTTCCAGCACAAGAACTTTAAGAATCTTTTCTGCACAGATTCAATATTAACAATATATTTATTGTACAGTGGCGACCAAACTATAGCACCAACGTGATCTGACAAGCGCAAAAAATAAGGTGATAAAACAATTTATATCAGTGAAACTTCCACAAGAACGAATAATAAATCCAAGAATCTTCAGAGTAAAATTCTTGATCAAATCAATATGAAGATCAAAGATGATCTACTTGACAGATAGCTGTTCTTATTTGTCACGTGTCATGGCTGCTAAAATATAAGGTCTCTCGTTCCAGTATATATATATGTCTGATCTGTGGGCCATTTTATTTAAAAAATAACCTAATATCGAAATTACTGAACAAATTACTGTAAAAATTATAGATATGCTTCAGCATTATCATGCAGATGAAAAACAGAACCCAAAATGATGTTCGCTCCACCAAAAGTTTAATAATGTTATTTTAAAATTTTATGTAAAGCTTATTGCGCACGTGGGTTTTTTGAGAAAAATTCAAAATTGTACAAACTTTTACACTTTAGTTTAGAAAACACGAAACCAATTGCTATCAAATTCTGCAAAGTTTTAACGTTGCGTTAACATGGTAGGAAATATAAAACTAAAACATTATTAATGAAAAATGCTTCAATATTATTACGTTGATTGGTAATTAAAATCGGCGCAGGTAAAACTCAACCATTTATTTCTCATTAACACTAATTTACACGATTAACTACTTATATGTACCGGGATTGATTATGTACACAATAATTCCGACTCAGCTTAACTTGTACTCAATAATCGACTCGAATGGATTTGACTAAACTCTAATTCCCTCACTGACTGTACTCGACGGCATGTTTCCGGCGGTGGTCCCTATTTAAACACCCGCGAGATCCTTTTTAGATATTTCGGGATCGAGGTTGTTCTGAAGTGCTCATAGCGACTTCCGCTTCGAGGTCTGCCGCCAGTGATGTTGAACCACCGGTGCCGTCGCACATACTAGAAAACCCATAGGCTTTGTACCGGGGCGGAGTATGGGTTTATTTTGTAGCAATGTGTACCCGGCGAAAGAACAAAATAAAATATAGGAGTAAATTTACATAACTAATAAATCGAATACAAATGTTGTAAGACTTTCTCCTATAGTTAACAGCTGTCGTTTTATTAACTTCTTTTCTGATTATTTTGATATTTATGCAATGTCTCTCTCACGTATTATTGCTGTTGTGATTGATAAGTGCCATTTGCTTCCTCATGGCTAATTGCTGTAGGTACTACTGTCCTACAGACGGATATCAGGTTGTAATGCTAACACCAAATAGTCAGTTGTTGTATGAGCTTCTGATATTGATATACCAGCATACCACTATTTACCTACACGCAACACTTCAGTTTCTAATTAATTACTAATTAATTACTTCTTTCATAATCTTCACTTCTCTCTGGCTTATAATTGGGTTCCTGTTAGCCAGCTCAATCTAATAATAATATTAACATTAATATTATTAATAATAATAATGCTGCAATAGTTCTAGAAGTCTTCATATAAATTATTTGTCTCTCATCTTTAAAATTCTACAATTTTAAAAGATTGATAATATTTCGCTGAACATTTTTGAGACTGAACATGAGAATAAATTTCTAGCCTGCACCATACTAACTGAGCGTCTGATGCATTCGTAAGTACAAACCAGCGGCGACTTCTATAAATGAATTTTAAGCAGTACTTGTAGAAAATTATAAACGATAATATCATTTACACACTTAAAAAAAGTAGAAAAAGATAATACACGGAAAATTACAAGCGATACGGCGAAAGATCGGAAATGGTGATTGGGCGGGACTTTTTACAAACTTACGTGGGACACAGTTCGGTAAACTTCCAACCCATTTTCCATTCGAGCACAAGCGAAAAGGATCCTTTTCCTGGCCCTGATTTTCGAAATAGCGAGCACACTGAAACCTTGCGACCGTCCCGTCAAAAGGGTGAGCACAAGATTTTAACGTTTGCTCGTTAAGGGTGCAAGTCACCGTCATAATCGAAGTACTATTGATGGTAGGACACGTCCCTAAAGACTTCGTTTCACTAAAAGGCATTATTATTAATTAGGAGATTCTTACGTAAACATTTCCCAATTTCAGGTCTCCACTCTCCGCGAACGCAGGTAACAATTTCGTAGGTATCGAGTTTATGATTTTTGTTGCAACTCACTTCTAAAACTGTCCGCGGGGGCACCAGTTCTCCAGGCGTTTTTTGAGATGGTACGTCATACATAGTCCATCGGCCAAAGTCTGGATGTGGTGGGAGAGTACACCTAAAAGAAATTTTTCGGGTAATGGCAAGACTGATTTTATAAATATATTTCACTTGATGTGACGAGTTTGACGCGATACTCTAGTGTAGTTGGTGAGCGTCCATTGGGTACAGTTGCAGTCATTTACTAAAATAAAACATAATTTAAAATTAAAACAAAGGAGGTTTGTTTTTCGAAACAGTATGCCCCTAAATAACGAAGAAATAGGTTTCCCGTTTCCATCGGTCTCTCTGTCTGTGTCCTGTCCGGATTTTTTTAGACAAATAATTTCCTAAACTACTGGACCGATTGTTGTCAAATTTTATATGTGTATTAGGACGTATTTAGATGGTAAAACGCTAACCAAAATTTGGATAATCGACCCCAGCAACAATTTGATGACGACCACTCTTTATATTGTACAGTAAACATTACCAAAATTGTATGAAATAATATACACTTGTATTTATGGTTTACGGATCTATCTTGATGTTAGTGCCTCTGGCGGGGACCTGTTTCACCCCTCTCCACCCGTAAGGGTGGGAGCCAGGGCCACCACCACCTTCGAATACAGGGAACATTCATTCACTATTCATTCATTGACTATTCATCATTCACTCTTCAAGCACTCTTCAAGCGGTTAACATACTCTTTATATTCAATCTCTGGACCTAACGGTCATAATATCATACTCGCTCTAGAACACACTTGTTATTTATTTAATAAAACTACAAAACGACTGTCCGCTGCTCTTATTCATAATCCATCAAACTTAACACTTGATTTTGTTTATTGTTACTATTTTTTTTATTGTTAAACCGCCTTGTTCTTCATCGCTCTCTAATTTTTTATTGGCCAAATTAAGGACAAGTCACCCCATTTCTCGAAAATGTGAGAATAGACACGTCTTTATTTAATAATGATTAAATAAAAATCTTAATAATAATATTCAGAACATTTTGTTCGACTTTAGCATATTTAATAATTTTAACTCTTTGTTTTAAGGGGACAAACTCATTGAAATCAAACTAATTTGATGTATT